TAGGATGGGGGGGGGTCTCAGGAGGGGGCAGTCAGGGGACAAGGAGCAGGGAGGCTTAGGTAAGGGGTGGGGCCCTAGGGGGCAGTTAGGGGCAGGGGTCCCAGGAGGGGGCAGTCAAGGGACAAGGAGCGGGGGGAGTTGGGGGTTCTGAGGGGGGCAGTCAGGGGGCGGGAAGTGAGAGGGGCAGAGGTGGGGCTAGGGCGGGGCTCCCACCATCCCCTTTTTTGATTGTTGAAATATGGTAACCCTAGATCAGTTGTAATTTGAAACCACGACCACTTTTGCTCCTTTGGGGCAGATAACTTGCTTAGTTGTATCATCCACAGACTGCTTGACCAAACTGGATTTTGGAGTTCTTCAAAATGTTAAGACCCCAAATAGGGGTTAAGTGGGATTTAAATAATACATAAGTAGGCCCTACCAACTTCACGGTCCATTTTGGTCAATTTGGCGGTAACGGGATTTCTAAAATTGTAAATGTCATGATTTCAGCTATTTAAATCTGAAATTTCACAGTGTTGTAATTGTAGGGGTCCGGACCCAAAAAGGAGTTGTGGGGGGATCGCAAAGGTTATTGTAGGGGGTTTACGGTATTGCTACCTTTACTTCTGGGCTGCTGCTGGCAGCGGTGCTGCCTTCAGAGCTGGGCAGCAGGAGAGTGGCGGAAAAGCCCAGCCCTGAAGGCAGAGTTGCTGCCAGCAGCAGTGCAGAAGTAAGAATGCCATGGTGTATGGTATTGCCACCCTTACTTCTGCGCTGCTGCCTGCAGAGCTGGGCCCTCAGTCAGCAACTGCCACTCTCCAGTCGCCCAGCTCTGAAGGCAGCAGCACAGAAGTAAGGGTGGCATGGTATGGTATTGCCACCTTTACTTCTGTGCTGCTTCTGGTGAGATGCTGCCTTAAGAGCTGGGCGTCCAGCCACCAGCCACTGCTCTCCGGCCATCCTGCTCTGAAGGCAGTGCAGAAGTAAGGATGACTATACCACAGCCCCCCTAAAATAACCCTGCAACTCCTCTGCAACTCAATTTTGGGTCAGAACCCCCAATTTGAGAAATGCTGGTCCCCCCCATGAAATCTGTATAGTATAGGGTAAAAGCAGACAAAAGACCAGATTTCATGGTCCGTGACGCGTTTTTCATGACTGTGAATTTGGTAGTGCCCTATACATAGGTGTTAGTCTGATCCTCCATACAGAGGTGAATAAATTTCACCCTTAGGGAGTATATACTGTTATATCCTCCCAATGTGTAAGGGTATTTTTTGATAAACTCAGTTAAACACATCTGGCCTTTACACACTGGCTAACTCACAATACTGAGTTCACTTTCAAGGTATTTAAAGAAGCCTGAATACCTTATGATCTTTTCAATTTTCACTAGGAAATTATTTTAGAATGTTGGGATTCTTGGACAACACCTTTATAATGAGCTGAACCAAAACAGCAATCTTAAATCCAAACCCAATATTAGGGTTTGAGTTCATCTCTATAAAGGATACATAAAAAGCTACTTGCTCACTTTATTCTCTCATGTAGTCCCACTGAGGTGGATGAAAGGGCTATTTGTGCAAAGCAGGTGAGGAGGATTTGAGCTCTAGAGGAGATTGGTAAAAACAAGTGTTCACTGATTTTCTTTTTAAAAATTATGTTAAAATCCTCTGGATCTAGATGATTTTTCATTGCATAATATTTGTTAATGTTTCACATATCTTAAAAGCACAACTACAAGCATTTTAGAGAAGGGCTAGATGTAAAAATTTAGGGTGAAATCCTGGCCCTATTGAGGTCAAAGATAAAACTCTCATTGACTTAAATGGGGAAAGAATTTCACCCTTTGTCTTTCTGCTACTTCTGTAAGCAGCTCTGTGGAAATCCGTCATATGCTATTTTGTAACTTAAATACAATATGCTTCAGTGAATCACAACAAATATCACAATTGTTTTCTATAGCAATGGCACACTAGGGGGACTATTTCTCTGTTGTGGAAGCACACTACTGTTAAAAAACAGCAACAAATTGAACTGACCCTTTCCTACACTGCAACTAATTGGTCCTACAAACAGATTTAAGTAAGCCATCTAAAAAGCATTAAATATTTTTTTTGTGTGCACAAACCTTGGTACTACCAACAGAAATTACCAAGTATACCTGTTTATTCACTTATTTAAAAAACTGATAGAGTTGTTCCTAAAAATACATTTTATGGGATATTTCAATTTGTAAAAAACAAATTTAAAGTAATCATGAGAAATGTTATGCATAAATAAAACTGCAAATCTTGAAAACTTGCTCTTTTGCTGGAAGACTCTCTCATGTAGAAGGTGTTTTGTTTTTAGAAAGTCTCTCCCTATTGGGATGAAGGAGTTTGTTTGATTGTATGTATTTATTTCAGAGAGACACTTAAAATCCTTCTGATACTCTTCCACCTAATTTTAATTCATACCACTGTCACATACTAATTCATATTTACATCTTTCTCAGGACAGTTTCAGATTTGCTAGGAGGAGCCTCCCGTTGGGTTAAATTCAATGCCGTTTTTATAATTTCTTGTTATAGCAGTGAAGGATTTTTCTGTGTGTTTAAAAGAGAGAGGCAACATTTCATTGTTTTTTTACAGCTTTTATTCAAATAGCCATAACTTGACAAGCCTGCACTTAGTACTGAAAGGAAAGATATCCCCTCCAAAGCAACAGACAACTCTATTTCCTTGAACTTCCAGCTGCCGTTCTGCGCCTGCAAAATCAAACTTCTAAAATCCATGTTTGCAAAAAAAAAAAAAAAAAAAAAAAAAACAACCAACCACAACAACACACACTTTCCAGAAAACTTCTTGGGCTTTGCTTTAAATGGACAACGTTCACACAGGAGACTTTTCCAATAAGAAAGTTTCTCACCCTCTCTAGTTTCTCTCTCGGGCCTCCTCCAACTTCACCTCCTTTTGCAGCTATGAATCCACCCCTGTAGTTCCCCTTACCAGGCTGCCCGTAAAGCGGACATAGGCTGTACCATCCTCCGAACTACAGATCCCAGGATCCCTCTCCCAAGGTCAACAACCTTCCTTCCCCCTCCCTGCCCTTGTTGTTGGAAAAGGCTCTGGCTGAGTTTCAGAGAAAGTCTCAGCTCCTCCACTGTGGACGGGGAGGGCGAGGCGGGCCGCAGAGGCCACCGGTGGGGAGGAAGGGAAAAGGGTAAGGGGTGGGGAAACTGTGTTCAACTGACAGCAGCAAAGGCCGATGGTGACGGTAGAAGACAGGGCTGGAGAGGCAGGACACTTGAATACCAGGGCAGATCCCTCCCCCCGGGCTAAGAGGGAGGGACCCCTCCTCCTATCCGTGCCCAGTAGTCGCTGGGGTTCCCCCTCCCCTTCAAATCTCTGCGTTCGCTCGGTCGAACTCCGCTGGGAGCAAGATTCCAACCCTCCCGCCCCTCTCAAGTCCCAGCGCTGCCGGAGTGGAACTTTGCCGGGCTCCACGTTCCAGCCCAGCCGGGAGGGAGAAGCCAGGCACACAAGCGCTGCCCGGCCGATTCCCGCCCCCTCCCAGCACAGCAGCAGCTGGGGAGGAGGAAGGAGCCGCGCTAGGCAGCGGCGCTGAGATTTGCCAGGCAGGCAGCAGAGGGAGAGCAGCAAGGGAAGCCCCCGTGGTCCGTCCTCGCGTGGAAGCTGCAGACAGTCCTCGCCGCGCGAGGTGGCTCTTGCGGCAGGCCGCAGGAGCGAGCCTGGCAGCGCTGCGGCGGGGTTGTTCCCCGGGACACGGGTGTTGAAGTTGCGGTGGCCCAGGCGGGGCGGCGGCCGCTGCTCCGCTGCTTGCTGTTTGTGACTCGGTGGCCGGAGGGGGAGAGCCGCCCCCTCCGTCCCGCTTCCCACTCCGCTGCCTCCGCTCCCCCGGCTCGGGCTGTTTGTGTGAGAGACCCCCCCACACCCCTCCTTCGTTCCCTCCCTCCGGCGCCTCCTCCCCTTTCCCCAGAGCCGGAGGAGGCCGGAGCGGGCGCGGTGCGGCTGCTGCTGTGTCTCTGGGGCTCTCGGCTCGGCCCGGCCCAGCCCGGCCGCGCCGCTGCTACGGACAGAGGAATCCCCCCAGCGGGAAGGCGGTGCAGCCATGAGCGGCGGGGAGGTGGTTTGCTCGGGCTGGCTCCGAAAGTCCCCGCCGGAGAAGAAGTTGAAGCGATACGTGAGTGCATTCACCGTACGGCTTATCCCCTGGGCGGGCCGGCGTCCCTCCCCCTCCTCGCTCTCCAGTCCCGGCTGCCTTCGCCCCTCTCTGCCTGGTTCTCCTTCCTCCCCGCACCGCACCTTTCCCCGCTGCGCTCGCTCCTTCGCTGCCCTCCTCCCTCTGCCTTTGCTCTCTTGTAGCATGGTGGAGTTACTGTGTTGACAACAGAGACTGGCACCGCACAGCCTCTTTGGTTTTCACACCACCTTTTCTTTCTTTCTTTTTTACTGCCAAGTACGCAGTTCAGTTTGATGTCAGTTAGGAAAGGACCCTGAGCGGGCAGATCTTTTATCTGGGTTTTATTGCCTTGCTAAGGGAGAGTGGGGCGGAGTTGTTCCCTTTAGATCCTGTCTTAAGTTATGTCTTTTAAATGTAAACACTGGCCAGTCTTTTCCTGCAGCCACTGTACAGCTCACTCAGTGGGGCTGGAGGAAGATAAAACCCTAGTTCATCGGTTGATATTACAAATAGAAAGTTGTTCTTTACGGGGCAATTGTAAGTTTGTGCAACAGTGATCTTTCCTACAGGTATCTGAGAAGCACTTTTCCTTTCCTCCTGAGTACAGTTCACATGAGGAAACCTTTTCACCTTCAGAACTCCTGGCTTACAAATTGAAAAGAAAAGAAAAACAATGTTTCTTTTTTATAGAATTCTGCTGTTGCTCAGAAGTAAATATTCTAACAGACTATAGCAGAAATGACATTTAAGTTGCATGAAAATGGTGCTTGTTTGCTGAGAGGGCGAATTTCTTGACACAGGACCAGCAATGCTGTCGTAGCTCTATAGGCTTTCGGAGACGCTGTCAAGTCACGTAGGAGGGATGGATGGTGCCAGAAGTGATCTTTCTTGAGGTCCTTCCCATGGCACCAAAGTGGCTTGCATGGTGTCTGTATAATTGGTACAAGATGCTATTTCTTCACTTAGCCATTTTTAGGTTTCATTTAAATAGAAAATGGACTTTGAAGGTGCCACTTTTATTGAAGCAAACAAACTACTTGAGAATCAGCAAACACAACTTGTCATGTCACAATATTTCTTTTATTTATTGATGTCTTCATGACCACTTTCCAAAGAGGAAAGAGATAAGTGAACTTTAGTTGCTGTCATTGAGTTTTTAAATTACAAGGAGTTTGTTAAACAAGACTTTCCTGTGTTTTAAAATAAAAGCTATTTCAGGCCCCAGTCCTGTCCTATTGGAGTGAATGGCAAAAATCCCTTTGACTATAGTATTGCAGGATCAGACTTTCAATGAGAATATTATGGTGGTGTATAAAACCTTTATATCTTTCCTACAGAATTGGGCACAAGGTCTATACAGGTATTCATTTTTTTTGAATGTGTGCATATTTGTATGTACTGTTAGGGCACTGGTAAAAGTATAGTATCATAGTTAGTACAGTGGCAGTGATTGAGGCATCAAGTGATCTAATCTTTTAAGTTTGACTAGTTTTCTGCATGAAAAGTAAAATCGCACACAATTATGCTGTCTCTTGATGGAAGAGGTTATTAACAGTTAAGAGCTTGATACAATAAATCATAGATAACCGTACTCGAGAGGTTGTACTTTTCCATATTATTGAGGTTTTTTTGAATGAACTAGTGGCTGCACTGCTAAATTAAAATAATGCACATTGCATTAGAAGAAAACTCCAGTGAATAATAAAGACTTATTTAGCTGTCTAAGGTATTATAACTGTATAAGCATACATACATTTCAGACTCTCCAGTCAGTGGGACTGTTGTCCTTCTCGGGGATCTGCCATCTTAATCCTACTGTGCAACAGAAACTCTGTTTGATGATCTAAAATATGCTCGAAACAGTTTCCATTGGCATTAAAAAAACACAAATCTCATTTTGAATTGATGTAAGTTACATATTATTGTAAAAAATGCTCGTTGATTTAACTGTTTAAAAATTAAGTTAATGAAAAGATCACTTGAGATATTTTTAATGATTAGTCTCTTCTTTATAATTCAATATAGCAATAGGATAATATGTTACACAATAGTGTTCCTTTAACTGATCCGTCCTGAAAAGTAGTCATCCCTGTGTTTTCAGTTAATATCACTTAAAAATGAAAGATCTGCTTTTTGAGGCTGTACAGAATGAAGATGGCATGTAGGGGGTAAGGGCAAGCTTTCAGTAACTTTACTGTAGCTCAGTTGGTACCACTCTTGTCTGGACTGTAGGACAGAAAGCCATAAGTTTAAATCCTACGACCATATTCTCTGACATGACAGCAACAGAAGAGGAGGTACTGTCTAGGGGATAGGTTAAAATAAGGTTCCTTCTACTTGTCTCTGGTGCCTGGTGAATTGTAGATAAAAGATTCTTAAGTCCATGTTTGTAACCTTGATATCATGATCAATGTTCTTTGTCCAAATAAAAAGGCTGTTAGGTCCAACTTTGTGAATTTCTACGAAGTGCTCTATGACTGACGCAGATTTGTCTATCCTAACAATAACTACATCTTTGTGAAGCAGTATAAAAAAAAGTTATATAAAGCTGCATTTTGTGTTGGTGACATTTCCGAAGGCTCCCTCAGAAGGAAGAGAGAGGAATACATGTTCACTGGAAAAGTAGGTTTTTGCAACACATACTTTTCACATGTATATGGAACACTGTAACTTCATGCCTTGTTAGTTAATGCACACAAGTGTTGGGGCAAATCCAAGAGTCCATCTGGGAAGGGAGATAGGAAGTCTGAAATTGCAGATGTTAAATCTGGTTTTAGTGCTAAGCTTTAGGGAGGGTGAAAGAACACTTTGAAGCTAGTGCACAGACATATGATCCATGGGGTTTTTCAGGTTTTTTTTTTTTTTTTTTTTTAAACAGTCTGACATAGTACTAAAGACAACTTCCAAGCATTTGAAGTCCTAACAAGAAGTAACTGTTTTAGGAATGGAAAATCAGTTTCTTGGATGCAGGTGTCTTTCCCCATAAAAAAGCAGAAATGTTTTTATTGTTAGTTCACGTCTTTGCTAGGAAATGAAACTCCTTACTTATAGCTATTGTCATCAGCAGTGGGTTCACTTGAACTGGCATTGGAAATAGTCTAGTTGTTGGCATAGATGAGAGAATCATTTTCAGCAGTATTGCAAAGAGCGTGATTGCTCATTCAGGCAGACCCACTGCTGACAGCAGTTGTCAACAGTGGGCCAGTTTCCTGATGTAGATGTGGCTTTAGAGGGATGCATTTCTCACCCCCCCCCCCATTTACTTCTTTAACATGCATTAAGTCCTTTTTAGTCATCTGCTTAAGTTCTGCAAAATGGGGAGAGGGGCTAAACATATAGGAGGAAGCTAGTGTCTGAGAGAATGGGTCTAAATCCTGTTCAGTTTATGATCGTTGCTACTTGTATGAATAAGGTAAAGTAGGATTTGGTTCCTGATTGGGATGGAGGGAGGCTGAGCTCTGTTCCTTTTGTTCTCCTTTGTGCTGCTTTCTGTCCACTCTTAACTTTTATAAAATGAGGAAGGTAAGTCTTTTGAAACTACTTTTGTTCACTTCATTTTTCTCTTTCCCATTTGTTCTATTTTTAAAGCACACAAAGAACATTTTCCTCAACTCCATTTTTTTAAAGATTAAAAATTCAGCTTTCATCATTTTACTGCTGTACTGTGGTTTCGCTGCGGATTCTCTGTTCATGTGCCAGTTCACACATCAAGTGAGCCTGTGTATTGGTAGCAGTATAGAGGATTTTAAATATCCATATGTTGACAAGTTAGATGTAGGGGTGGCGAATTGCCAGTGTGGAGGGTGGAGTGGGGTGAGGGGTGGACCTTTTATGAGTACTGTGCAAGGGTTACTAAATTTTTCATTAGTTTAATGGCTAAAAGGACAGTTTCACTTCCGTCCATTGCTCCTAAATTTAGGGTTCACTGTGGCAACTCCTTAATTAAATCTGCTGAAAATCAGAAATCTTTGTGCTGCATTGCCTGATATTTACTTTTACATACCAGTGGACCTCCAGTTGTAAATTACAGTGTTTGGTGCTTTACATTATTTCAAATCCAATGTGGAATTGTTAGCTTAGATTTTTTTTATTGTGAGTTATTCTACATTTTGTATAAAAGTTACTGCTGTTTTAAAGTGAGACTTTATGCATCCCAGTTTGAGTAAAATGCTTGCTGTTCTGTAGTAGTTAAAATTTTGCCTATAAAACATAACTCAGGCAGTTTTGATCCAGACCAAATTTTGTATCTCAGTTCAATTTCTGATTTTAACATCTTGTAGTTTAGGCAGCTTGGATGAATGATTAAGCATTATCTTATATTCATGAATTACTTACTCCTGGGAGATTCTGTGCCAAAAAATAAAAAATTCTGCACCAAAAATTAAAAATTCTGCATACAATATTTATAATTCTGCTTATTTTATTTGTCAATATAACACAATATAATCATACCATTTTCAATTATTTTGGTAATTTATTTCAAAATACCCGTCAGCAAGGATGTCTGTAACAATGCAAACAACGAAAAATATTCAGGTAATTTTTTGTTTTGACAAATAGATTCCTTACTAGGCATATTAAAACAGAACTTTGAGTAATTAATTTAAACTACAATACAGAAACATATTTTCCGCACCCCTCAGAAGCAGTTGAAAGGCTTGCGGGAGTCAAGGGTAATGGAGGAATGGAGGAGCTGAGGAAGAGGGAAGGAGCATGGGAGAAAACCTGGAGGGTTGTTGGGTGTGGATGGAAGAAGTATGGAACAGGTTTTGCGGGTGGGGGTGGGGGTGAGGGGAGGGATTGTTAAAGAGTTGGAGAGTCTCCCCCATGCAGACCCTGGCTGACCCCAAGCCTTTCCCATTCAGTCAGGCACATCTTCCCCTGTTCCCATGTGTCCCTGAAGCCCCCTAGCCCCCCCTCCCCATATGGCCCTGCTACACCCCTTCCATTCAGCCCTGGCTCAATGCTGTCACCCCACTAGCTCCTGAGCCAGCACCCCA